GACTTTCTTCCCATTCTGTAATTTCTACGTTCCTGTTTTCAGAAACACAGAAAGTGAACTACCTGGGTGGATCTTCAGAGCAGACTTTGGCACCTACTGTGCTCAAGCTCCACCCAGAAGCATTGATTTACAGTTTGGACATACAATTGCTCACTTATTTTAAGAGTTGGCACCATAGATTAAGATTTCTATAATTATGTACGGTCTTGGTGATTTTAAGATAAGATTCACTGTCCAATAAGAACAGTTCTGCCAATAATCATACTTTTCTCTGTGGTCCAGCAAACAAGTGTGTATGAGCAATAATTTGTGAATAAGTCTTTTTGTACTAACAAACTTATGAAAAAAAAACATAAAATAGCACCATTATAAAGTACATAAAAGTAAGGAATATATTTTAAAGAGGTGAGACTATAGAAAAAAATAACCATTATCACTGTCGTATGGAATTTACATTTTCTTGCATGAGACAGAAATATTGACAGCTCTAGTAGTTTCTGGAGAAAAGAGATAAAAAAATAGTAATGGTAATGATGAAAACAGCAAGAGTGAACCTTAGTTACATATTCTATGATTTCAGTCTTCTCCTATGTAATTCATGTACGGACTGTACATAAGTTCAAGCAATAAATCTGTCAGATCGATTGTATTGATTATTGTTATTGAGGATTTAAATGAGTCTTAGTGAGGTTAAAGAACTTGGCCAACATCATATAACTGGAAGTACTGGAGCCAGAAAAATTGAAATGTCTAAGAGTTTATGAGAAACTTTTTTAAAAAATAATTTTTTTCTTCAAGATCGCGTGTGTGTGTGTGTGTGTGTGTGTGTGTGCGCGCATGCACACACTACGATGGAGATATAAACAGGAATTAAGCAATCACATTCTTAGATTACTGAGATCAATGCTGTTGCTACTGCAGTGTGTTTCTTACCGTAGCTTTCTGTCTACAGTCTTGGCATCTACAAAGGAAAAACTATATTCTTAGGATAGAGAGACAAGAATTCTGGGAACCAACTAAGCAGCAATCGCACCCCTGAACAGCAGAGCAAATCAGCACGGCGACACAAAGAAAAATATAAAGCATTCCTATCTTCAACCTCAGCTCCTGGGCTGACAGTAGCAAAACTGCACTGCCCCTAAATTAAAGTGGAGCATGCAAACTATGTAGATAACAAGAGCTGAACCACAGTTTAACTCCAGGAAAGACCCACAGTTCTTAAAAGATTTAAACCTACTCCTCTTTACAGCAAGTTTGCTTTAAAGAAAAAAATCCTTTCACCACTCTGCAAGCTCTCACAGTGCAATACCCCAGAACCATCTTGAGAGGAACGCCCTTGTTAGGTAGAAAACTGCTCTGGGGATCAGAAAAGCTGGAACAATAGAAATTTAGAGTTTATGTCAATTCTCTGAGGCACTGAGTGGGAGAAACCCAAAGAGAGACAGTACTGTGTTGAGGAGTGTTTGACACAGATCTTCCGGAAGGTTTATGAAGGAAACAGCGTGGGTTGCTATGGGGACGGGAATGGAGGGCACGGTGGTCCGTGACCTCGCTCTCTGTGATGGAAGCACAAGCAGTCTTATGCACTTTTGTGGAGGGGCCAATTCTGAAAGTGCCAAATGGCTCGGTTCCTGTGATCCCCCTCCCCCGAACCCAGGAAAGAACTTGGCAGCTGGCTTGCTTTCCTACTCTTAGGGGCCTTCTGGAGATGTGCCGTAGCTTGAACACACACATAGGAGCGCAGAACAAAATCCTCCAAACTGAATATACACCCACCTGGCATGGCCCACACTATCCAAATTTGTTCTGTGGGGAAAGGGCATGTTGTAGCCCAACATGGGCCCAGCTTCCAGGAATACACCCTGAAAAACCTGTGGAGTGAGTTCATATCTCACTGGCAAGGTCCATAATCTGTTGAACTCAGTGGGCAAGTCAGGCTTGTTGCTGTTCCAACACTGGGCACA